CCTTCAGAATACCCATTCCACTTCCCAGCCAGTGCTAATCCACTGCACTTAATTGAAATTTTGTTTCACTCCATCTCAGGAGTCCCAACCCAGATGCTCTAGACTTGTCTTTTTCCTAAGGGTGTCATCTATAATTATAACACTGGGAAGGAACCTCTGTTAATTTAGCAAGCAGGGGAAAGATTCCTCAGCTTGGAGCATCCTGGCCAGCACAACAGACCTTGGTTAAAAGCCTCAGGGGGACATTCTACATGTGCACACTTGTGTTTGTTACACAGTTCTTGGGCATATTTACTTCTGATTTTCAAAAGCAGACACAACATTTCTCTAAAGACACCAGGACTTTTTAATAATCAGCTGTGAATGAGTAGTGCTAATAAGTCTTCACAGAATCACTGAATTGTTCAGGTTGCAACGACCTTAAGGCTCTTCCAGTCCCAGCCTCTGCCAAGGGCAGGGACACCCTCCACTATCCCAGGCTGCTCCAAGCCCCAGTGTCCAATGTGTCCTTGGACACTTCCAGGGATGCAGGGACAGCCACGGCTGCTCTGGGCACCCTGTGCCAGGGCTCACCACTCTCCTAGAGGAGAATTTCCTCCTGAAATCTAATCTACATCTATCCTCCTTCAGCTTAAGGCTATTCCCCCTTGTCCTATCATTACCTGCCCTTGTGTTAACACATTTCTACAGCTAGAGCTTATTCCCCAAAACTATTAAGGTTTTCACCACTGACTACATTGGTTTTGACTTAATGTGATTACATGGGTTAAAAGGAGGCAGAAAAGCCTGGCTTTAATAGGCAATACTTGCATGCATGCACTACATTCCTACAGGGCTGGACCTGCCCCAGGAGAGAGCTGTTCTGCTGATACAACTGAGCTGGCACAATTTTTGTCGTAGGAAAAAGCATTAAATGAAAGCGGAATTAGGCCAAGAATGACCACTTGTGAAAAATCCCACTTAACAGTGTTAAGCTGGGAGCCCAGATGGTGGCACTGGGGAAGGGAATGCAGGGTCACAATGGGAAATGTCAGCACAGTGCAGGCACACACAGCTCACAGAGACAAGAACTGCTCCACCCCACTGCCCCTGCACTCTGGAAACTGCAGGCTCACCTCCTCCCCACCAGAGTTCACTGAGCTCCAACAGAAATACCCAGGACATCAGGAGTGATGCATGGGAGCATCTTCTGCAACACCACTCGAGTAATGTGATACAAACGATGGCCCTGGGTGCCACATATGAAAATCAGCGTGATTTCCCTCAACCCTTAATTGCCATGCAGCATCTAATGCACCTTACTCTGATATTCCTGGCAGGAGACAACAATATTAGCTAGGAAATCTGTAGGCTTCTGCCAAATTCACAAATACTGGCAGCAAAACCTAAGGAAGGGGCAGATAGGGCTGGGAAAATGAGGAGTAATTTAATGCAAATGTTCTGTACAGCTCCCCAGGCTCCATGATTAGGGATGTCAAAAAAAATTTAAGTGTTCCTTCTTTAATATTATGGAGAACTGATTATTACTCACTGTATACAAGGTTTTCTAAAATGATTGTATTTTTCATAAGTAAGTCTCTCATTATTTCCTTCACTAAAATGTGTTTTGCTTTGTGTTCAATAATTTCCCCCCCGAAGTGAAAGCTAATTCTTGAGTTGTGATTTTAACCATGATTTCCTTTTACTTAACTTATTTTACTCCCTGGTGTAGTAGATAATGGCATATGTTGAAAAAAATAGAAAGAAGGTTAAAAAAAAGAAGAAAAGAGAAATACTTTTGCTAAGGCAGGTAGGCATGACTAGCTTACATTGAAGACTAGATTGTTTCAAACCCATACCATCTAATTTTCTAAGGAAAAAAATGTTTAAAAATCCAATTCAGAGATTGCTTTTGAAGGTGAAAGTCCTCCTGTGAGCAAGGTGAGTGGAAGTTATATTTATGTTTTTTTCCCACAGTTTCAGATGAGGAAGATCACGTTTGTATAGGTCACTTTGATTTATGGAGCTGGATGCACCTTACAGTCACTTTTATATAACAGAAATAGTCCTGATTAATTGCTGAAAATTTCTGGATTAACAGCTGTGCTCTCATACACAGTTGAATAGTTCATTTGAGAATTTAACCTCACTGCAATATGTCTAAAGAAGAATAGAATTTATTGAGGAAGAACTGTACCAAGATAAGAATAGTCTGCAGTCACCTGCAAAAACCAAAGCAGACTTTTACTTACACTATTTAATTTTTCCTTCAAGTGGGGCTGAAGGAAAGGTTTGTTTCTTGAATCAACATGGAAAAAACTGCCAGTGAAAATTCATCATGTCTGATTTATAAGCATTCTATTCCCAACAGGCAAAGACTTAAGTGGTGACATCCAAGAGCTAATTCTCCACGGCAATAATAATCTGCTATCTTCAAAAGTGAATGTTTTCATGGGAATACAGCCTGAACTTCCTCAAGGTCTTTAGTTTGGCATAACTTGGGTATTCAAGCTATGTTCCTGAAATAGAGATCAGTCTTGCACAGTGATTAAGGGATTCCACTGTACAGATAAACCCTTGTGGTAAAACCCTGCAGAGATGCAGAGTGAAACCGTGTGGGTCCTTCCTGCAAAGCACCACTGTGTGGAATCTCAGGTTTTTTATCCTTCTTTATTTACTGGAACAGTCATAATAAAGCTCAAGTATTTGCTAAAATACTTTATTTCCAACAACAACATAGTCAAGATAGAGCCACTGCTGGAAAGCTGATGGAAAGGGTCCATTAATAACCAAAGTGTAAGTCTGTGAGAGATGCAACTTTCTTCTGGTTGAGAAAGAAATCATTTAAAGTTGCCCACATTCCTCAGAATCAATCTGAATTCTTTAAGAGATGCATAGCAAATTAGTCTATAATCAAATGTTCTCTAATGAGATTAAAACTTTTTAAAGTCAATCCACAGGCAATGGAAGCTTTGTTTATTACCCAGTCTAAAACTGAATGTGAAATTAGAGGATGGTATTCACCACACAAAGACAATATCTCTTATTGGAATTCAAAGTGCAATTAATTAAACTCTTACTCAGAGTGATTTATCCTAGTCCTGTCTCCACTGGTGTTCCAAAGGCCTGCTGTGAACATCAGGTACATTACTCTTTACAGATTAGTCTGATTCGAGAGCTGGGTATTAAACACTGAATTCAAGATAACTAGAATCCTCCAAAATTTCATAATTACTAATATTTCTAGCCAAAGAAATGAGTATCTACAGATATGCCCAAACTCAATATTATTACAATACACCCCTAAAATGTACAGAACCCAAGGATAAACACAGTCACCCAGCTACAGAAAGAAGCTCCTGAGATCAAATGAAATCACACGAAATCACACAAATTTGAATGCTCAGAGAGTAACACAAGTGCCAGCCTAACACACACAAGTGCAGTTTCCCAGCTGTAAAAGCCCTGCAGAAGTTGCTGATGTTATGACTTCAAACCATCCCTTAAATCTGTCTTTATATCTCTTTCATGCCCACAATAAGCTGCAGTTTCTTACATTTGGATGCTCATCGGGTCAATAAAAGGAGAAAAATAAGAAAGGGCAAGATGATATTTTGAAAAACATCTGGCAGCTAAAGGCACTAAGCTGCAATGCAGAAGATAATATTGAAAAGATTAAAGCAGATAAAAATAAATGAAAACAACATTAAAAAAATAAGAGCCAACCTTTTTCTATGACACTCGCTTTGGAGCAGGGAAGCACCAAAAGGATAAAAAAAAATTATTAAAAATATCTACCCAGTAGAGCCAGAATACTCCCACTTCATTTTGCTGGCTTTATGAACATGCATCGTTCTGACTCATGAACCAGAAGAACACAAAACTTTCCTGCTTGATGGTAAAGATGTTTAGAAAGTTGGTTTACATTTCATTTTTGCTTCATCAACTTCCCACCCCTCAGGGGATTCATTCTGAATTGCATGAGCATGGAAAGTGAGTTAGCCACACTGCAAAGTCAAGGCTGTGTATAAATACATGCTCTTCCAGCCATTTTTGATTGGTGTCTGGATTATCTCATTCAAGAGAGGGATATTCAGGTAACAGAGCACAAACATCTCCAAGATTAACAACCTCCTGCAAAGTTGTCAGTATGTTTAAACAGACCTACTCTCCCATAGATAAAAATCTCCGTTTTGGTCAATTTTTTATGTCTGGACCATATAAAGCAATCATGTTGTTTTGCATCTTTTTTTTCCAGGCATTTGGAAGGGAAAAACAGATCTTTACAGGAACTGATCAAAAGGGAACATCAATTTCTGAACCAACCCAAGCAGTCAAAACACATGGTCTTTGCTCACTGCCAAAAACATTACATCCAGATTTGTGTCCATTTGGAACCCATCATAATGCAATCATTAATCAGTCTGATTTAGAATAATGTTTGCAACAACTGATTACTGCTGCACATAACCATTTGTCCTTTAAATCTGAAAACGTTTCCCTTGCCATCTGAAACAATGCAACTAATTCTCCCAGAGTGCCTGGGCTGGGCAGAAATGCCAGTGACTCATGTCAGAAGGATGGAGCCTTGCTTAAAATAAATCGCACATATTTTCAGTAAACCCTTGGGCTAAAAGCCACCGTTCTTCTCGAGACACTCCTGGTAGACATCTGTACCCAGTGGCACTGTGACCTGTGACTTTAAACATCACTGCTCCCAGGTCACATGCTGGCAGGATGCAGTTTTACTGCTCTGATTATCAGATCAAGTTTCTGTCTGTCGAATTTGGATATAAGAGAAGCAATTTCACACTGCACAATAGCAGGAACTCTGGAAGTAGCTGTCACACATATTACAGAGTTAGAATTGCTCTTGCTGAGTGTCACTTGAAATAGGAACTGATCAGACTTTATAATAGATTGGTTCCAGACAGACTTTTGTTTATCATTCACAATGTATACAAATGAAATGTTGCTGTTCAAGTTCAGACATTACAGGGAGATTTCAATCTGGAGAACAGGTATTCCTGGTGAATCCAAACGGGACACTGGAACTGGCAGGAGAAGGGGAAGCAAGCAGCTTGGTGGGAGCATGAGCGTTTTCTTGCTGGTGCAGGTGCTGCTCCAAATAAAAGTAGATTGCAGCCACGAGGAGTTTGCAGTATAGCTCTGTCTTTTGGGGAAGAGTTTTAGTTTGTTGGGGGGAAAGTCTGTTGGATTGTTAGAGGGGAACTCATATAGTGCTTCCTTTCAGAGAAATCCTCAGAGAGTCTTTTAATATGTAAAAGGTGGATCCCAGTTCCAAAATACCCGTATCCCTAAAACAGCAACAAAATCAGTGGAGATCTTTCTCTTCTGGTGTCTGCAAAGGACTGCAGGAAAAAGCTCCCAATACAGCTGTCTGTGAGCAATTACCTTGGAAAACCCTCTGAAGAGGGGCTCTCATTGCTCAGCATCACATTTAGCATGATGGGGTCTCAGGGAAATATTGAAACACAACCAAAGTGTAATTAAATAATTATTTTAAAGGATCAAGGACCATCATTCCTCTTTCTCAGGAAAAGAACACCTTCTACCAAAACAAACCCCAGCACAAAAAGGGTAGAGAAAGACAGTGAAAAGCACAGATGAGAAAACAGATGAAAATAGAGATAGGAAAAACTTTATCTCCCAGTTTAGATACATTTTTGGAAACTAGTATTCTTCTGTGTTTGGAAAAGTAATAATGAACCTTTCCTTAGACTGAATTAACACTAATTTACTATTAAGGAAATGTAATCATTTTCTATAAGGAAAAGGTAAACTGCTAATCAACAGAGCAATGTGTGTGTGCTGTCTTGATGAAAAATCACACATTAGTAGCTGTACTGCAGAAGTGATGAAAGAAATCAAAATGATATAGCCATACAAAAATATAGGAGGATCCTGATATTTAGTACAGAATATACACATTTTGAATTTCAATAATTAATTATCAGTAGTAATGGATGAGAATCAGCTATATAACAGTCTGATTACATTCTTAATCAAATTAGGAGTAAGAAATAACATAAGCACTTTGGTATTACTCTGGCTAATTAAAGACCAAAAAAATTACTAACTGTAGTTAGTTAAGAAAGAGCCTTTATTCAAAGCCATTCTAATACCAAACAGAATTACAGCTTGGATTTCTCTTTACACAGATCCTTATAAAAGGTTCAGTTCTGCCCCCAAACTCCTCCCAAGCAGGGAAATTGTGGATGGAAAGAGGGCAAGGGCAGGATAATGACAGAATCACAGCCAAGAGCTGTTCTCTCTCAACATCCTCTGCAAGTTCCTAAAAGCTCAGAAGGCTTAAGTGGTTTTGTATTACAAAAACCAAAAATTAAACAAAAAAGTAATTTAAATAAGCTCCAAATAAAATCAGGATGAGGCCATATTGCACCTGCACCTTCTCCATGGATCCACACTGGTCATTAACTCCACCAGCATTCCAATACCCATGGCAGCAGACTTTGTCTAAACTATTTTCAGAGCTGGTGCAGTCAAAAGAGCATTTAAAATAAATTTTTCATATCACATTTCCCTGCTCAATGACACAGGTAAAAAGAAACCATCTGTCTGTGTGGATTTTGTGTAAACTCATTTGCATGCTGTTAATAAAAATTATATTATTTAGACATTTATACCAAAGTATTTTTTATTCTTCCAGCTCAAAATACTCCAGTTTGTAGACTGGAAGGCAATATCAAACCTAAGTGAACTTGAGGTCACTTCAGAAGCCAACTATACTGGGGAGGGGGAGAAAGAACAAAGCAAACAAACATGTTCTTTATGAACTGACAGGTCACTAGGCTCATAACAAGATTGTATCAAAAGCCAGTTACATTTCTGTCTGAATAAAATAATCATTCAAGGCAACACAATAACACTAATGAAAAAGATACTTTACAAAAACCTGTTTCTTTCTAATCATGTTTCTAATTTTGGTAACACCACACATTAAGAGGCAATTAAAGCAGCTCTAATGTTGTGGGGATTTTTGTTTTGTCTTTGCAATGACACAATTTGCTTCAGAAGCAAATCCAATAAGCCATCTGAAATCATCTTTGAAATTGTGTTCGTGACAGTTACTTAAAGCCACAGAAACATAATAGCTTCACTGACATAATTTCTCTTCTGAAATGTGAAGGGAGCCTTGATTTTCTGCAGGGGCAGAGGGAGGCAGATGTTATCCTCTGATTAATTCAGAGTGTAGGACTCTCACCTGGGCTTATTGGATCTGCTGCTTCAGACACTAGAAAGCAACTCCTCACAAATCCATAGTACTTCTTTTTTATTATAACTCTGCTACAAATATGGGCCCAACTCATATTTAGCTACAGATATCATTTTCATTATAATTTAGCTGCAAATATGAAGCCAACTCACTGCCTGGGCCATGTATTCCTGCACCACACAGGAAACATTTTCTTGCCATAAAACCTCTCAGGGATTTTTGGTCAGACAAGCCACAGAAGTATCAGCCTCTGCTTGGATTTGGAGACACAGCAGAGCAAGGACGAGTTCCCAGCTCTGCAGGAACCATAACATGGAATGGTGACAAATGGTGTGCATGAAGCTGTGTCAGTGTAATTAGTCAGTGGTTAGTGTCTTGTCAGAGAGGTGATAATTTGGCAAACCATTGTGCTATAAATGTTTGGGTTTTGGTTGTTCCTTTTTTTTCAAAATTACTGTTCTACTGAGAGAATTGATCAGGTCAGCAAAACAGCCAAAAAAGTTCCAGCTTAAGAAATAAAGTCATGGCACTTTTTAGACCATGTTTAAGTTGCTGCAAAGTGAAGGACCTACTAAAGAAAGATCAGCTTGCTGGTCTAAGAGGAGCCTGCTGCAAACTGTAACAGCAGCTGTGTTATGGTGATAAACAGAGAACATCTCTGTGGCTGCTTAATCTGACAAATTAACAGGGAAAATCTGTAGTGGCCATACGAGTGTGAGTCAGCCCGGCTGCTTTATCAGCAGCTCTAGGTCTCCTCTCCTATCAGCTGTTTCCAGTGTAGAGCTCAGAGAGAGGATTGACCAGGATCCAGCCCAGTGCCTGCCCTACCACCATTGCAGAGCCTGGCAGAGATTAACTGGGTGGGTGAAAGGAGCATGGGCAGCTCTGCATCCATCAGACACAGCAGAGCTCCTGAAGGGGCTCCCAATGCAGGGCACAGCACCTCTGCAGGAGAGCCAGGAGTGAGAGCTGCACAGTCCCAGCCCTGAACTGCTGGGCTGCAGTCAGGCTCAGCACAAAACATCGCTTTGAGTCTATTAAAGAACCTTTTATAATCACATTTACCACCAATATACTTCTTTAGCCTTCATAGATAGTCCAAATACTTAAAAATTTCATGCATTAAGGAATCATATTTTAGGCGAAACAAGGTTAAAACTGGTGCCAAAAAGAACGAGAAGGAACAATTTGCCTTTTATGAAGAGTAGATAACACTTAGAGGAAATCAATCTAATGCTCCCGAGCTACTCCTGCTCGAGGAACTGAGGCTGGGGCAGAGACTGTCCTTGTGCACATCAGGCTGATGAGCTCAAATCAGCCTCATGATAAACAAACTAATCTCTTCCAATATTTTTTTTTCATTTTTGTTCATTCCACTTTTCTTACACTGCCTGGAATTAGCTGCATTTTAAGTTCATCTTTCTGACTTTCTCATGAGGACATTTTCCAAAAAAGTTTTTTGTTGTCCTATCATTTTTTTCCCTACACTAAAGATGCTGGATTTGTCCAAACTACTTTAAAATGCCTGAAAAATAAATAAAGGAGTCCTCGGGCAACTGAGATTTGAATGTTTGTAAAAGAAGGTTGTGCAAGCAGCTGGGATGCTAAAAAAAAAAAAAGAAAAATATTTGAGAGAGGGAAGAGTTGATATACAACATTACTATGGATATTTACACACCACAAGCCAAGATATCCCATCTTTCCATCTCTTGGTCTCCCACATTTATTTAAACATAGATCTACTACTCAAGCTAGTCAGGACTATTTGGATTATAAATGTTTTGAAGTAGAAGCTGTGTTAGACTTGGTCCAGGCACAGAAGAATTAAAATTGACATCTAAGGTAGAACTGAAGGAAAATCTCTCTAAATGCAAATCAATTATAACAACTTGAAAAATAAATAGACTTTGAGAGTGCTTGATTTCCTCTTCCTGAATGTTGGGATGACTTATATAAAAATGTGTCCAGGAAAGGCAGTGCTGTATCCTTGAGGACTCTGCCTCTGTCCCAGATCCCAAAGATTCCATTTAGCACTGCAGAGCAGCTCAGGAGGACGTGCACTGCTGGCTCCCAGCTGCAGAGCATTCTGTCTTCATTAGCATGTGATCCTCTCACTTGGTCAGAGGGGACTCTGTTAGTGCACATAGCAATGATCATTCCAGCTAATTAATTTTAGCAAAGATGCTCAAGCTGATAATTTCTAAACTTGTGCATCTGTGACTTGGGATGTGCTACCCCCAGGAGAGATTTATTTATTCTGAGAAGGCTTGTACCAAAGAGAAAATTCCATTAGTTTGTTTCCTCCCCTTTCACTGGCACTGATAGAAGTCTTAGGGCATTAAGGGATTATTGTGTCACCCATCCCTACACCCACAGTTGAATTATTATCTCCTGTTTGGTCCCCTGCAATGCAGCTGCTCCTCTCTCCTTCCCACTCATACCTAAAGCCTGCAGCCATTCTGCATCCACAAGGATTTTTCCAGCTCAAAAATCAGCGTGCTTAGACAGGAGAATTTTAGAATTCATTCATTATTTTGTGTTCTACTTGTCCACGTGAAATATTTCAATCAGGAAATTAAGTTTTGATGGAAGATAAGAAATGGTTCTTATTCACTCAGTTTTATGTGCTACTGTTCAATGTATGTTTCCATTGTTCCTACAAGGGAACCAGAGGCAGAAATGAGTCATTTGTAACATTAAAGTTTAATATAAATTTCATATCTACATAACTGAATATTGATGAATTGTGGCCAGTTCATTACCAAGAAGCAGCACACTTTCCAAAGCTCAATTCAATTATTTTATGTTGGAAGGCAAGGGGAGGAACTGCTTCTACACCAAATACTTTCTGACAGTGTTCTTGAGCTCTTAGTTCCACTTCTTGCTGCAAGCTCTGGCTCTACAAGGCTCCCTCTGGCCACACCTTTTTGCCTTGGAGAATCTCCAGCTTTTTCAGGACATCTTTGCCTGCTCC